TCGGGGGACGAAATAATAGCCCATCGTGTGAAAGCACGTTTGTCCATTCCTCTGTCAATAAACATTTGGGTTGTTTCCACCTTTTGGCGATTGTGTACGGGGCGGCTGTGCGCATTCATGTGCAAGCTTGTGTGTGAACGCCTACGCTCAGTTCTGAGTACCTCCTGGGAGTGGACTTGGGCGGTCACGGGGGCGACTCCCCGTTGACCGTCTCGAGGAGGCCCCCGCCTGTCCCTGGCCGCAGCCGCATCACTTTGCGTTCCCGCCAGCAGCGTCCGAGGGCTCTGATTTCTCCGCCTCTTTCCCAACACTTGTTCTTTCCTTTTTTTCTTAATTTGCTTTTTGTTTTTCGGTACAGCCACCTACTGTGAGCGTGAAGTGGTATCTCACGGCGGCTTTTGTTTTCATTGAAGTACAGTTGACACGCAACGTTCCATTCGTGTCAGGTGTACAACAGAGCGACGCCACACGTCCCTACATTGGTCTGTGCCCGCCGCACCTGCGGCCGCCGTCTGTCACCACACGTGCAATCACAGCGCCACCTGCTACGTGTCTTCCGGAGCTGGCCTCCCCCTCCCCTTCACCAATTTGCCCCCCGCAACTCTCTGATTCTTCTCTGTATTTACAGGTCTGCCTTCCGCTTTCTGTTACACGTAAGTGAAATCACATGGTATTTGTCTTTCTCTGACTTATTTCACTAATAATTCACTCTAGGTCCATCCTATCACATGTGCTTTGGATTTGTGTTTCCCTAACGATAAATGACCTTGAGTACCTTCCCATGTGCGTGTTGGCTGTTTGTATCTTTTTGGACAAATGCCTGTTCAAATGATTCCCCATTTGTTTTTTTTTGGGGGGGGTCGTTTTTGTTTTTGTTTTGTTTTGGTCTTTTCACTGTTGAGTTGGAGGACTTCTTTTTTTTCCTCATTTTTTTTTCTTTCTTTTTTTCTTTTCCAGCCCTCTCATTTTTTTCTTTAAAGTAGGCTCCACACCCAGTGCAGAGCCCAATACAGGGCCTGGACTCACAACCCTGAGATCAAGACCTGAGCTGAGATCAAGAGTCAGGTGCAGGGCACCTGAGTGGCTTAGTCAGTTGAGCATCCAACTCTTGATTTTGGCACAGGTCATGATCTCGTGGTTCGTGGGACTGAGCCTTGCAGTGGGCTCTGTGCTGACAGTGCTGAGCCTGCTTGGGATTCTCTCTCTCCCTCTCTCTGTCCCTCTCCCCCACTCATGTTCTATTACTCTCTCGAAATAAACAAATAAACATAAAAAAAGAATTGAATAGAGGGAAAAATGGAATAAACGACAATAATAAATCAAGGGCTCATTGGTTCAGTCGGTTAAGTGTCTGACTCTTGGTTTCGGCTCTGGTCATGATTTTGCAGTTCGTGAGTTCGAGCCCCACATCAGGTTCTGGGTTGACAGAGCAGAGCCTGCTTGGGATTCTCTGCCTCTCTCTGTCCCTCCCCTGTTCACACCGTCTCTGCCTCTCTCAAAAATAGAAGTGAGATTAAATGGAGAAGAAATAAGATGGCAAGATCCAAATCCAAATACCTCAGTAATTCAACTAGATGTAAAGAGTGAAATACCCCAATTAAAGGACAAACACTGTTGAATTTCATACAAAACAAAACTCAACTGTGTACTGCTTATGAAAGGCATGTATTAACTGTGAGGTACAGAAAGCTTAAGGGGAAAGGGAGGAAAGAGACGTACGACGCAAATAGCGACCGAGAGGAAGGTGGCAGGCCGCACATCTACCGGAAAGCAGATTATAACACAAGAAGTACTACCAGAAATAAAGAGGAAAATTTCATAAGATTAAGAAGGCCAGAAAGATTCAGGTGACGATTCTGAATTGTATGTACTTGAGACATTGCCGGAAAATATACAAAGCAAAAATGAACAGAATTAAAAGGAGCCAAAGACGAATCCACAATCATGACAGACTTTAACACGTTTCTCTCGGTAATAATTAGACAAGGTGATAAAAACATAAATATATCAAAATTTTGAAAAATACAATTAAGAAACTTGATAGAATGTGATGTCTAGAATACTATCGCCCATAATTACATAATTCACAGGGAACACGAAACAAAGTTGACCATATGTTAAATGATTCGGTAAGTCTCAACACATTTTAAAGTTTTTTAGTTAATTTCTTTTGAGAGAGAGACTATGAACAAGGGAGGGAACAGAGAGAAAGGGAGAGAATCCCAAGCAGGCTCCACACTGTCATCACAAAGCCCTGTGTGGCACTTGAAACCATGGACTGTGAGATCACCACCTGAGCCAAAACCAAGAGTCGGACGCTTAACCGACTGAGCCACCCAGGCAGCGCTCAACACATTTTAAAGGATTAGTATAACAGAGTATGTTCTCTGACCACAGTGTACTTAAGATAGTAATAATAAAACTTTAAGTAGAAAATCTACAAATGGTTGGAAATTAGAAAATCCACTTCTAAATAACCCATGAACAGGGGCACCTGGGTGGCGCAGTCGGTTAAGCGTCCGACTTCGACTCATGATCTCACGTTTGGTGGGTTTGAGCCCTGCATCGGGCTCTGTGCTGACAGCTCAGAGCCTGGAGCCTGCTTCGGATTCTGTCTCTCCCTCGCTCTCTGCCCCTCCCCCACTCATGCTCTGTTTCTGTCTCAAAAATAAATAAACATAAAAAAATAAAAAAATTAGATAATTCATGAACAAAAGACGAAATCATGACGCAAATGAGAAAATAGTTTGAACTAAATGACGTAGAGATTACAACATACCAAAACTTCTGGGATGCAGATAAAGCCGTGCTTAGAGAGAATTTATAGCTTTAAATGCATATGTTGGAAAAGAAGGCTAAAAATTAATGACATAATAATCAATTTCAAGATTAGAAAAGACTCCAGCAAATTAAACTCAAAGAACATAGGAGGAGGAAGGAAATAAGAAAACTAAAAATGGAAATTAATGAAATAGAAAATAAACATATGAGTATGAATCAACAAAGCAAAAGTTGTTTTTTTGAAAGGACTAGTGAAATTAATGATCCCCCTGGCAAGACTGATAACAATTTTTGACAAAAGGCAAAATCAAGAATGAAAAGGGAAATATCACAATAGACAATAAGAAGATAACAAAGGGACATCGTGAAGTATTCTACACAAATAAATGTGAAATTTTCAATGAAGTAGTCAAATTCCTTGAAAAACACTTTTCAAACCAGAAACAAGAAGAAAATTGGAATCTGGAGTCCTATATCTGATAAAGAAATTGTATCTAGGGGCGCCTGGGGGCTCAGTCGGTTTAGGCGTCCGACGTCAGCTCAGGTCATGATCTTGCGGTTCGTGGGTTCAAGCCCCGCGTCGGGCTCTGTGCTGACAGCCT